CTTCGCACACCCCTGGTATAAATAGCCTAGATGACTGACTTCACTCCCAGGCCAGTGTCAGCAGTGAGGTGCTGTCAGCTGTTACATCATACATCAATGCTTATTCTTTTTGTAATGCTCAAAGCTTCGTGGGAGAGGGTGTGCTCTAAATTCCAAAGAAACTGATGAAAAGCTGTGGATGCACATTAGCATCTATGCCAGAAAAAAATTCCCCCTCACTACACAAAATCTCCAAATTCCTTGTGTGTCACCCTACAGATTTGAGTCAGATTCTAAACTCTTCATCCAAACATGCACAAAGGCCATTCCCCAAATTTGAGGCTACCTCCACTCTGAATTATGATCCAATATTTGCAGCTTTCTAATAAGCTGAACCAAAACTCCAGATCCTAAAAAGCCCCAAACTTTGGGGCATCCAAGTCTGAGCTCTCAACTCTGAAGCTCTTAGTAATGAAAATGCTGATCTTGCTGGGGTCTGAACACGTGCAGCTCCCGGTAAAGTTAATGGAACCTTCAGGCATTCAAGATCATGTCCTCTTAGCATTTAGAAGTGCTACATATGTCCTCTGTACTTTGCACGCATATAGTGCTACATCTCCAACTGGCATCAATTGGTATAACTCCGGTTTTTTAAACACACTATGCTGATTTACTCCTGTTGAGGATCTCCCCCCCAATCCCCATCTGCCCTGTAAACCCTTGCCCTTCTCTGTTGCCCGGGACTTAAAATAAATAATACTCATGCTCTATGAAACCCAGGGGATGCACATCACCTGTGGAATCAACATATGGAGACAAAGATAAATAACAAACCAATGACAATAGCATGGAAACATCCAAAAGCAGGAGAAAAATTATCAGCAACAATGGTTACCTGTGGTTTATTGACCCTGCGTGCAAGTCTGGGAGGTGGTTGTGTTGGGACAGCAGAGGAAGAGAGGGCAGAGGAAGAGAGAGAAGCAGACGAAGAGAATGCGTTTGTGTCAGCAGTCTTTTAAAGGAAAGAAAAGTTGGTCAGCTACACACATGATCTCCTTTCAGAACCATTGCTACCATCTCTTGTAACAGCATCCATTATATAGGGCTAAATAGGGTGCAGACACTGCAAACTTAATGAACTCCATGCAAGGACAGATGCATCTTCCTAGCTTAGCATTCTGTGTTCACTGCTCGAGTGCATCTTAAACATGCAGAATGTTAAGTCTACATACCAGTCACTGAAAATATGGACAGATAATAGTATAATTTTGTGATGCTTTGGGTACAATTTGGTTTAGTTTCATATCAGTCAATTTCATATTAATCATCATACAATTTTGTAGCATGACAGTCCCCCAACCCTGCCCTGATTCTAAAGCCACTTTGACCCCTGATCTGGGACCGAGTGAGCATATGCTGCTAACTTACTCTAGTTGGCTATCAGCTCCATGAAACCACTGACACAGCTGAGGGATGGCAAAGCAGAGCACACTGCCTCTGTCAAAATGAGCAACTGGGGTAAAAGCCAGCTACGCCATCTCATACCATCCGAGAGCTCCACTGAGGCTCTAATCTCAATGCAGAGGGCAGAGCGCTCTTCAGCCAGAAATACTATTTTAAAGAAATAACGGAATCACTCTTGGGAGTGAACAGTGCTTGGTGGGAGTCTGATTTGCACAGAGGTCATCTCACAGTCTGGCACTAAAGCTGTTTGACAGTGGGTGAAACTGTTTACATAGTAAAAATAAGAACCAGGCCCACTGATTTTGCATTGGTTGTGCAAACTCAAATTAAAATCAGTTTAAGGTTTTCATAAACCTCAAGCTCCATTAGGTTCACTCATCCTTTATTTTTCATGGATGAGAGCAGCATCTGCTATTACAAATGCTAGGACCCTGAATCCCCATTCTTCAGGGCCTGATCACCAACTGGGGACAGGAAGGAACTGCCATATTCCATAGGATTTTACAGTGAGGTTAACTGCATGCAGATAGGACTTCTTCAGCACTTGTCCATGGACATGCTTCTATGTCAGCTCCTTACTAGGCGAGGCTGGGTCATGTGGGCAGAGAAGTCCCATGCTTTTTATTGTGCTAAAATATATCTTCTTAGATCATCCCTAAACCTACTTCTAGGACTTTTCTACCCAATGTTTTCTGGAGATACTACCTCCTCCACTGTCAAGCTACGGGAGATGCTCTCAGGGTCCAGAAAGGAGCAATGATAGCTACTGGCTCCGACTAGCTGAACAGTAGGAATTTGAATGCACACACACGCACACAAAGGTAGGGTTTCAAAGTATCACACACATGCAACACAAGTACCTTTTTTACCCCGCTTTTCATCTCTCTCATTTCACCACCTTTCCTCACACTTCTTTTCTCAGTGTTATTTCCCTGCACAATAGCCATTAGATCCTGACATGACTGGCTCTCCTCAAAGGAACCAGGGGGCCTCTTCTCAGGGCTCATGAACATATCTAACTTTGAGGGTTTCAGACACCCCTGAAGAGAGATTTTGTGAGGGGCACTGGAGCGTCTGTCTGGCTCCTTCTGTTCCTCCCTTTCACTGCTGCTGAAGCCTTCTCTATTCTTTTGCAGCTTGGCTTGGTTGCCAATGACACCACTGAGCTCTGACAGGAAACTATTGGGGCTCTCAACAGTGGCACTAGGGGAGTTACAGTTATTCATGTTTGGAGAAGGGGAGCCAACAAATTTTTCTTCACTTTGCGGAGTGGCATGATTGAAGCTGCGAGCAGAAGACTGCGGTCTGGACGGGTAAGATGGCAATGGAGATATGATGGACCTGGGAGTTGAGGAGCCGGAGAGATTAGAATGGTGAAGACTGACTGAGGGGGAAGGGCTGGACAATGCAGAAGGAGTGCGACAGTCAATGTGACTGAGGCAGGCTTCAGGCAGAGGAGGCAATGGAGGGGTTATGGCAGGAGTGCTGCTAGGAGACACTCCTACGGTCAGGGAAATCCACTCGGATGTGACTGCCTGCACCTCTGGAGACAAGGCGTGGCGTGGGAAAGGCAAAGGCGGAGGAGTTGGTGTGTGCAGCAGCTCAGAGCTGTGAAACTTGAAGGAAACAAAAGAAGAGAAGGAAGAAATAAGCAAAAATAAAAACAAACACAAGAAACATACAAAACGATCAACTGAAACTGAAATGGGGAGAGAGCAGAGAAAAGCAGTCTCATGACAGTGCACAGAGAGTAAGCTGTCAGCAGGGGCTCCATCCTGTGGGTGAAGCCCTCACTGGCACTTCTTTCTCAGCGTTCGGCATCACAGAGAACAGGATCCGTGACTACAACAGCTAGGATGATGTTTACAACCCCCATTCTTCAGGGCATAAGCTGATCACAAAGGGTCAGAAGGAAATGCCCATGTTCCAGGGGATTGTACTATACAGTTCCTGAGGGCTTTGGCTGGCATCACTAAGGCTGCTGGAGAAGAAAGGAACTGCTCAGAGGGAGCAAGTGTCGTGGGACTTGGCCTTCCGATTTTAAAGCTCTGTGTTTACAAAGGTGCCATGATGAATTCTGCTCTTGGCTGCTTCTGCAGGACTCCCCTCATGTTCAGCAGCAGCAGCAGTCAGGGGCACATCACAGCCTGCGCCCCAGTTACACATGCAGATCTGCCGTGCTGTGCAGAAAACACAGACAGCTATGGAAGGAACAGTGGCTTTCACCCACAAAATTAAAAGGAGAAAAAAGGCAATTACAGGCCTACCAAACCAAGGGAAGAGTTTGCAGGAAGCTGGGGGAAACATGCTTCCTGGCACAAAGGGAGCAACAAACCTGAATACTGTAAAGCTTTGCTGAGCTTTGCTTTATTATAGAGAACCCCAGGCAAGCAAATGGGGCCTGCTCTTCCCTTAATGCCAGGAACAAAATGATGCCCCAATGAGAGCCAAAGGAACACAGGGAGAGGGATACCAACCAGTCCTGACATTTCCACTCCTACCCCTCCCATTCTGTGCCACATGCCCCATCTCCCTGCTCTTCTTCCAATTTCCTTCACAATCTAATCTCCTCATACAATCTTCCTCCCCCTTTTGCCCATAGGATCCAGACCTTGATCCTGGTAAATAACTGGTCATGTACTATATTTGGCAGGATCAGTGCTAATAAATTAAAGACTGAGCGCCTTGGAGCCTCTGCTGCATTGCTGATTCCCGGAAAAAAAGGGGCAAAGCACATTCCCAAACTACCGCCTGCTCCCATTTTTGTCATTTTTATTTTCTTCTTTTTGGATGGAGTTTAGACATAGTTTAAAATGGCCAGTCTCAGGGACTTGAGTCCTCCATTTAACTGCTAAACACACGCAGCATGGGCAGCAGGAGTGCCACTGTCCTGAATGCTGCCCTGGCCAGCTGCCTCAACCCTTGGCTGGCACTGCTACCTGCAAGAATAATGCAGAGCAGTGGTTCTCAACCAGGGTGCCACAAGAACCTGCCAGAGGTGCTGCAATACTGGCACCACCCCTGTCACAGGGTGATGCTGCCTTGCACATCTCTGCTTTCAGGAGGTACACTGGACCTGCACTGAGAAGCATCTGCAGCAGAGGCTTGCCTGTTTGCACTAGATTAAGGCAGCAGCATGCTGCTTCTGCTGTGGCTCTTCCTAGTTCAGCTCCAATGTGTCTCATGACAATGAAGGTGTCCTACCTGGTGGCTGTGGCCTGTTATACCTGGTGGCAGTGGCCTCTGTCTGCAGGGCCGCTGCTCATGTAGATTGAAACTGCCTTGCGTGCCCCCCTTTTCTGAGAGACACCATGCAGGGTACGACCAGGAAGGGCTGTGCAAGAAGTATGTGCTTCTGCCACAGCTGCTTCCCAATTTGGCTCTGCAGGAGGTGTGATGCAGTTCCATCTGGCCATGGTGGCAGTGGTGGGGACCGTATTGAGGCACCCCCATGGCCTTTCCCTCCTGCCTCCTGGTCCTCATATGTCCTTTTGCCCATTTCTTACTGGAGTTCAGATGGGGGTGCCCTGGGAAGCTAAAAGAACTTGGCTCCGTGGTTTCCAATTCACACCAGTGGCCTGGAACCATCCATGTCTGGGGAGTACTCTGCTGAACTGTTAAGCCAAGCCTGGCAGAGCTAGGGGAGCACTCCCCCCCACAGCAGCTTGAAAGAGTGGATTTAATTATAATTACCTAGTCAGTTAACAACACGTTAATTAATAATCAAATTATAACATTTTTATGATCATATTCATAACATTTATCATTGCTTTTTAAATGGGGTGCCACTAAATTCTGAAATGTTTCAGAGGGGTGCCTGGAGACTAAAAAGGTTGAGAACCACTGGTGAAGAGTTTAATCCAAAGCTGACTACAGTCACTGGAAAGGCTTCCCCTGAAATTCCCTCTGGTCACAAAGAATGCCCATCACTGTGGCATTTTGTGCACAGCAGACCCTCATCTACTGGAACTGGAATTTGGTTACCAACTCATCCTCCTCTGTGGCACTGAAATTTATGCAGATGGTCCCAGCTTTAAGTACCTTCCCACTGGGCCTGGATTCAAGCTAGTGATCAGAAGCAAAAAGTTGCTACTAATTCCACCAACTAAACCGTTATGTTCTTTTCTGATTAGTGAAGTATAAACTCTTCATCTCAGCTCTCTCTAGGCAGGTATAACAGGACAGAAACATATTGCATGGAACTACTTCACAGTACACTCTTGCTTTAGCTAGGGGCTAATACAGATATTCTTTCCCACACAGAAATGGGAACATCCTACTGTTCTGTAGGCTGCATCTAAGTCCACATACCTGAGGGGATGCTGACATACTGCGATTAGGGGAGTGGGACATCAGTGGGTCAGCATAATCAATGGCATTCTTCACCACTGGACGTTTGAGCACTTCCACATATGTGACAGGAAAGATGCCTTGGCGACCAGTGCCAGAAATTTTTCCTTCATACCAGTTCTCATCAACTCGTCGAATCAATGTGATCCTTTCTCCCTGCAGGGATGAATGGTTACTCAGTACTGATGTTAACCTATGCTATAATTCCAGAGAGGCTTTTTTGTTTTGTTTTTAAAGAAAATTGTTGTGTTCCAAGCCAAATCAGCCAAATCAAGTCCAAATTCATGAGTCAGTCCAGAACCATAAGTGGCCTTACAACCAGCAAACATCCTCTACCCCAACCAGGGGCTTCAGATATTTCCAATATTTGAATATATGAGTTGGGAACTGCTGTAATTCCACAGTAAGAGAGGCCACTTCCTTTACTGCAGGTGAAGCAGAGCTGTCCACAGCCTATGGCCCTGCAACCCTTGTTATGGCTCTGTCTCTTCTAGCTATGATAAAGTGTTTGCATTTCAGTGATAGCAGATCATACCTTCTGAAACTAGTTCAGGCCGTCTACAAACTCAGGGAGGTCCCAGTTATACGCTTCTTATGTTTTCAAGGTTCTCTGCATCCATGAAACTAGAACCATTTCTTTTAAATGAAAGCCATGGTTCTAATCTCACTGTGGGACTCGAGGACCTTGGGAGCTACACACAGGTCTGCACGGCTTGCATCTTAAGCCAGGCCTCTCTATTATTCCATTTTCCCTTCTGTTATGCAGTCAAATGAATGAGATTGACTTTTGAAGGCAGAGTACAAACAGCAAACTCCAACTCTGATGCACAATGAAGAATAAAATAGGAGATACAGAATTTTAATATCTATAAACTCTGCAAGCATCCACCCCATTTAAGATGAAGTTCTGCTCTTCAAGGTACTTAAATGGATTTAAGTGACTATGGAAATGCAGTCAGAGTCCTTGTGTAATCACTTCAGCATCATGGGCTATTAGTTCACTCCTGTTGGCCAATTTGGCTCTGCTGTTCTCTGGGTGAAGGGCTGGCTTTAATTCTTTCCAGATGTCACAGCAAAAGGAGATTAGCATTGCCCAGGGCACACCACCTTTACACCAATGAAGAGAAATGGGCTAGAGAGGCATCAGTAAAGACATTGATTGTCCTGAAGAACCAGGCCTCCCCATCACTGCATCCACTCTAGCTCATGAACCAACTTCTGAGTAAAGATGGCCTATTCACAAAATACTTATTATGCTGTAACACGATGGGCACTAAGTAAAAGCCCAGAAAACTAAATTCAGATTTTATTTATGTTATTTTTTGATAATATAATGTGTATACATGTTAATTTTAACTAATTAGCTAATCTTAATGAGAGACCTCCTTGACAATTATACACCTTCTTGCTGGTTTAGATGCATGGATACATCTGTCATCATAAAGCAGTTCCTACCTTTCTGAATGACATTTCTACTTGAGTATCTCCATTGAAGTTAAATTTAGCAACAGCATCTCCATATTCTAATACTTGTAATGGTGACATCTTTTTCGGCTGGGCTTTTTCAGCTGGTGGGAGTAACTGAATAAACAAACAGACAAAAGCAAAAGTAGCACTAATGAGCTTAAAAAGGTATCACTTTAAGGAGACTTTTTGAAAAGACAGCTTTAAAGAGAAAGTATGTACCTCTATGTATGACCGTGGGAAGATGCCAACTCTGCCATGGTGTTCTCCTTCATACCAGTTCTGGTCAATCTGCTTGTATATGTAAACTATATCTCCTTTCTGCAGTGGAAGTTCCCTGTTAAGAATGCACTGGTTACAGCTGAATTATGTATCACATTAGCAAAGGAAGAACAATGCATTTTATTGGAGAAGAGAGGGGCTAAGTATGTTTATAACGCAGAGGTAAAGTGCTAACTCATATGCAGGGTGAGCATCTTACAGTTACCAAGAAATCTCCATTCATCCTTTGGGGAGAGGTATAGTTGGTAACCATCCATTCCATACATTCTTCACAGAGAGAAAGCTATACAATGGTAGATGCTATTTGACAGTGCTCCCCATGAGGTGGAAGGGCTTACTTGCTGTTTCACTGCACCACTGCAAAACTGCAGGGTGGGGGCTCTTAAAAAACAAGCAGGTTCAAGGCTACCTTGAGCATGTTCCTCTTTACAAGTCACAGAAAGGAAAGGGAGCAAATTGAAGGAGTCCAAGCCACAGGCTGCTGCTCACCCTGCATACGAGGGGTGCAGCACTCACCCCCCTGACTTGGAACTGGTCCTTTTTCCCTATGCAGTTGTTCATTACAAAAGGAAATAACTTGCCCCAAGGTGTTAAAAGGAAGCTAATTTGCTATTGATGGAAATGACCATCTGCAAATTGGGACTGCACTGGATTTCATGATGTTCATGGCTGGCCAACTCTTAGAAATAAGGGAACAAAAGTGCAATTTGAACCTGCACCTTCTGAGCTAAAAGCATGAACCATTCCAGCATGAGCAAAAGGATTAATTTGCATTATTAGGAAGTGTAGCAGGCTCATCAACCTATTAAAGGGGCCAGTCACTGGAAGAGGCAAAGGCCCAAACTTTCCCAGTACAGATTCTACAAGCTCCTTTTCATTTTGATCTGTGTGGTCCTCTAAGAACTTCTCCCAGGACATCAAGAGGATCAACTTAAAGCTGGTCTGCAGTCCTCACTAGTCCTGGGGTGATTTTATGTATACTGTCAGAAGCCATCAAACACGGGTCATCCAGTTTCCCTTGGAGGTGTCTGAGAAAAGCAACAGGAACTCCTTCACTGGGGGCCTGCTTTCCCTTCCTCTTTCAAGGCTTTCATCAGCAATGATCAGAAAGAAGATCTAAGCACACAGCCCAGCAATGAAAATAACTGCAGTCCCATGCAGAGGAAAAAGGTCTTATGGACAATTAATACATTGTTGTGTTTGAAAATGACCAAAGACCTTAGAAAGCCCTCAGAACCATCCTTTAGTGACAGTGGAGTCATCACAGGAAAAGAAACTTATAATGCCAAAGATCTCCCAGACATAAAAAGATGTGGGACATAGTAGCAGAGGTGAAAAAGCATTTTCTGCACACTAGGTAGCTGTGATGGTCAGGCCAGTAGCAGGTTGGAAGTGGTGGCAGCTGCCATTCTTATGCTCTCTCAAAATTGGCACTCAGGGCTGGTGCCCCAGTTGCCCACCCTTAGTTATGCTACTGTGTAGTAGAAGAATCCCACCACCATCTCTGCATACTCCACATGGGGATTAAGTTTCCAACTGAGTTCTTTCTGCCTCTTAAACTTCAAAAGTAATTTTAAAAAGGCATAGCACTGGGGATGCAGCTGGCAGTCCTGTTAACAGTGCACAAGGTGAAAGACAACTCTTCCAGAGTATCAGACCCTGGTAGCAGCCAGCAAGAGTGCATACTTATTTCCTTCAGTGTCCCAAGTGAATTACCCTCAGAGGTATGGGAACAGATGCTCAGAATAAGAAGATAGCATTTGCATGAAGGTACCTTGCTGACTATAAACTAAAGGTTCTCTATTGACTGATCAAGCTTTTCACTGACTGTGCAGGGTTTGCTTTGAACTCTTGCGTGGAAAGATATTCCAAACTATGAATCAGACACTACTAAATTTAAAAAAAATATTGCACTATATTTAGAAAAAGCTGTGTAGGAAAGAAAGAAGCTATTATCTCCATGTATACTCACTTTAATGTCTGTGCTTTAAAGTCAAACTTGGCTCTAGCAGGTCTCATCTACAGATCAAAAACAACAAAATAAAGATGATAGTTACATCTTTCAACACCCTTCTGAAAGTTGTATGGGAATGCACCCCCAGCCGCAGCAAGGACTAACACCCACTGGGGGCTGAACTAGCAGTTCTAAATTCAGATATTCTGCTACATATATGCTTGGATCTCACCCCAATGTTCAGTTCTGATGTATGGCTCTGAAGAAACTTCTCCCTTGATACTTAAATAAGTGCCACTCTCTTGTATAAATGTCACCAATGCCATGTACAGGAAGGCAGGTGGCAGTATAAGAACAGTAAACATTTAAACACGACATGGGCACGGACAGACGACATGTTTACAGCAGTGCAATTGGCCTGTAAACCATGTAAAATGAGTGAGCATACAGCAGTGCAACCCTGCACCCAAGTAACTTACTCTGCTACAGTGAAACCCAGAGAAAACCAAAGGTAACATTCCACAAGTGTAAGTTATACCAGTGCATGTCACCCATGTACAATGGCCACCTTCCATGTGCCACTACTCTGGAATAGCTACAGAATGTCCACTCTGGATCCTGGTGTAACTTATTTCACTCTGCACCACTAATGTAAGTTACCCTGGTATAAATGTGTCATGTGGCCATGCCCCATGTCAAAACTGGTGACTGCCTTGGTAACTGCTAAGAGCCTATGGATTTAGGTCCAAATTTCCCTCAGATCCACATGCAGCCAAAGGCAGGATTTCATGGCCAGAGAAAGGCAATGCAATTTTACTCATGTGGCACTTTTACATTTTTAATCCTCCCCCCACTAGGGCAAATCTTTGAACACTTAAGCTATGATCCAAGTACTATGGTTGCCACTGGATTGATTGGTGGGAAAGAGACAAAGGCAAGGAGGTATTAAAAAAATGAGTACATATCTGAAATATCTCAAGTAGTGATGAAGGCAGATCGGACATTTAAGAGCTTATGTATGAATAGCATCCAGGGTATGATTTAGTTGGTCGTAAATTATTCTGATGATTTACGACTTGGGTAATAAAATAATAAAAAACCAGAAGCAATTTTCAGTAGAAATAATAAGAGTAATATTTACACTCCCCCGGCACCTTTTTTGCCAAATTATCCCAAAGCATATTACAAATAAAAGGGCTGATTTCAGATCTCAGTTACACCCATACCACAGAGGGCAAAAGTTAATTCTGCTTGCATACAGGAATCATCTCTGTTATGCCTGCAGTGCAGCCATCTCCGGGGTGCAACATGGCAACTGCTGGACACCACACAGCAACAATACACTGCAGGCTCAAGGAAAGAAGTGGAATTTGGCTAGAAAACCTCACCTAACACCAAATTCTTGTGGAAAAAGTGCCATGGGACCCTCAAAAAGTGTCTCCTCCTTTGTCTCTTTTAGAAGAACCAAACCATATAGTGTTTAAAGAGACTTGCTGGGATTTCTTCCAGCTCTTTCTAAATGCATTAAGAGTCATTCAAAGACAAAATGACATACTGTAGCACTAAGTCTATAAGGCAGTCAGGATCAATGATATGGAATTTCTACGCATAAGGCACAGACAGGAAAAGCCAATGTAGCAATATGTAGCAAAGGATGTAGAAATGCCTTTGATTCACTAAAAGTTGCTGATATATAAATGCATGCATCACAGATGTGCACCAGCAATTCTCAGCAGACATGCTTTAACATAGACAGCTTGGTATAGAGATACCAATTAATTCACCAGGCACAAGAGTCAAAGCGATTCTAAATGAAGCCAGAATGGAAGGGAAAAAAAATAATGCATTCTCTGGAGAGCTAATGTCGGCCTCAAGCGCAACACTGTGAGAGGCAAATATTGCTTTGGGTCAAGCAGCAGACTGAGGTAACTAAAACAGACCTCTGACCCAGATTTCCTCTTTGCTGTATCGTCTACATTTAGGAGGTCCCCAAATCTCTCATTAGTGATAAACTGATGGTGCGTTGGAATAACCCCCGTGTGCCTTCTAGCTGCAATATCAGCTTCTTCTTGCTCACGTTTAAGTCGTCTCTGGTCCTCTAAAAGTTTCTGCCATAAAATTGCATAAAATGGGCAGTAAATCATGTAGTTTAGGGCATTTGGAAACTCCTAGCAAAAATAACTGCAATAAAGAGCTTACACAAGTACCAGCATAAACATATAGCTTTAGGTTGGAAACAGACATCACCTTTCGTTGCCTTTGTGTCAACGTAATAAATTTAATGGCAGCAGAAAGGCCAAGCAAACCAATGCCCATAACCCCCATCAAGCCACAAACAGTGGCTTGACAAAGGCGATATCAATTTGTGTCACTATTTAGTGAGAGATGTCTATTTACTTTATGGTGTGAGAGTGCAGGCAGCCCAGAGCATCTCTCTAAGCAGGGAAAGCTGGACAGGTGCGCTTCAAGGACCTGGGGGCCCAATCCTGCACACTCCAGGAATTCCTGTCCAGGACTGGCTCCCTCCAGCCCTGGGAGCACCTGCCCAGCTTTCTCTATTTAGAGAGATGCACCCATGGGATCCTTGGGGCATGCCTCGGTAAACAGAAAAGTTGGGGTTACCCAACCTACATGTCCCAGAGATCCTAGGGGTGCATCTTAGAAGGTAGAGGAAGCCAGGCAGGTGCTCCCAGGGCTTGAGGGGTCCAATCCTGCATGGGAATTCTAAAGGTGTGCAGGACCAGGCCCCCAAGGACAACACACTGCCCATTGTCCCACTTCATCAACAGGTACAACAATAGGCAACATGTGTTTTGCCCAGTGAAGCAGGACATACTCTAGCACACCTGATCTGCTTCATTTGGTGACATCTATTTCTAGCCTTAGAGATACCCAGAAGATCAAATCAACTAACAGTACAATAATTTCCCTTTGATTTAGCTGGTGTACAGAATACATTTCTATGATTATATACTTGGAGGCAGTTCATTGGTAGAGCTTGATGGAGTTGTTTAAAATTGAACAAGCCATTCCACATACCAAGGATAGGATCTCAAGTTCACAGAAGTCAATGGCTTTTCCCATTTTCTTCCATGGACTTCAGGTCACACCTCAAAAACTTCTAAAGGAAGGGGGGATTTTAATTTGCTGGCTTCTCAGACAATAGATCATTAATGATAGACAATAACCATTCAGAGAACTAGTAGTTTGCATCTTTCTTCAATAACGAAATCACCATCTTTGAAAAGACTGTTAGTTTAGCCATATATTAGCCAATGATTTTAAAAGGATCTGATAAATTTGGGGACCATTAGTTTAAGACATTACAAAGGGACATGGCTTGCAGAACAGCAAGATTCAGCACTTGCAGATAATCAGGCATCTTTAAAGTATCTCAAGATGAGTACTCCAACTAAGAACACCCCCCCCACCCCCACAATCACTAGTTGCTTCTGAAAACTTCAGTAAACATTGTCTTAACTGATTAATGCTCAGCTGAGACTGCTGAAATCATACCTAGCTTACTGATGGACCACTTTCCACTACTGCCAAGCGCACATTCTGAATTATGCCATCCACCTGATAACAGATCTCCAAGTGCTTTGCATACAGGAAGGATCCCTCAGCCCATCCTTGTGTGGCTGGCAAGTATTCTCTCCATTTTATGTAACTGGCAAACTCAGGCACAGAGAGATACTGTATGGCCTTGGGCATTTCTGTAAGTCAGTGACAGAAGCAGTAATGGAGCTCAGGAGTCCTAGCACCCAAATCTCTTGTTCTAGCCACTATATAAAACTTCCTTCATATGTGACCATGTGGACACACAGGCAACAGAAGGATAAATGCTGTACTCTCCTCATCTGTAGCTACTGGAAGCACTGCAAGACCATAAGGAAGGGCTTTACCTCTTTGTCATCGTGACGTCGGCGGAGAATTTCTTCTGGAGCTTCCATGTAATCAACTGGTACAAAATGTCTTGGTGATTCTGAATCTACTTCAAAACAACATAAGGTTGTTAAAATACAAATGGACTTCTCTGGCGTAACCAGAAAGGAAAAAATGTTCTCAGATAATTTGTTTCCATTATGGCAATTAGTAATTAGCATTGACCAAATGGTTAATCAAATGAGGATACATTTTTGGATTTTTTTTTTTCCTTTTTGGCTGAACAAAGATTGAAAACAAAGGAGAGTACAAAGGTGGGGAACAGAGTAAAAAACATACAAGGACTTCATGAAGAAAAGATTTGCTGCCATTGAAATATTATTTTGCACATTACTGTTGATAAAAATTGTAAACGCACATGAATGCACACACACCAATACATACACACACACACACAAACTTGAGAAACGGTTCCTTAAAAAAAAATTAAGTGGTTTTGTTGTATTTATATATGGGACTCCGAATATCTCACTGCAGGATCCTCACATCCTAAGAGTTGCCTGAGACACAAGTGGAGCCACATGGTGATCAGAAAGGCAGCGGAAATCATTTCTCAGAAGTGCAGCCCGTTAACGAGTCCTGAACAAAAACGCTAAGCAAGACACGCAAAGGACATCAGACACACTAGAAGGATGAGCGTTGGAGGATGCAGAGGTTGGAGGAACAACAATACAGAGAAAATAAGTAAAGTAGGAAGACAGATGAAGGGACACTGGTAAAGTACACAAAAAGCCACCTCCGGGGTATGTCCCAAGTTCACTTTGCAGGTTGTTGTTTGTATCCAAGCTCTGACAGAAAGCAAATGGAACAATGTTCCCATTATTTATGAAGTCTGGTATAACAGCTCGGACAATGGAGCTATGTTGGCTAAATTCCAGGCCGGGGAAATGGCTAAGCCTTTCCACAACATCAAAGGAAGACAGGCGCTTTGGAGCTAGAGGCCTGTTTTCAGAGCACAGTCCATAGAGAGAGTGGTGGTTCTTGTCGGCTATGCTCCCTCGCAGCTGCATGGGGTCATTTTGGTTCTCGGGGCGGTACAGCGATGGGGTCCCTGGCCAATCTAAGGGTGGAGTCTTTCTGGGACTGTGCTGAAAGGACTTTTTCAATCTGAAGGGAAGTGGGCTCATCAGGTAGACATTTCTGGGTAGCATGTGCCTGTCCCCCTGGACACTGCCTCTGGAATCAGGGATCTTGAAGGCCTGCTGCTGCTCATGCCTTCGAATGGTGGTGAACCTGGTGTAAGAAGCTGGGCATGCTCCTTTGCATTTGTTTATTTTATATTTCTGCGGCCCACTGGTATTGTTGATGCTGCTGTTGCTGTCATTAGATAAATTGGACAGGAGATCCATCTCATCTGTGCAAGCTGAGAGTGTATCCATAGGGACAATGTCACTAAGATCAGATGGCATGTCCTCCACATTGCTACAGGAGCGAGAGGAGCTGTCAGCCAAGTTGGCAACATCTTTCTCTTTTTGGTTTGGCTTTGGTAACTCCAGGAGGGACTCTGCTGAATACGCAGCACCCAGGCAGCTCTTAGACTGGGGAGGAGTGGGGGATTTACTTTGTCCACTGGAGAAGTCAAGAGAGGGCATTGACCGGGATCTCTGGATTAGCTGCTCGAAGGCAGTGATGCGGGATGCCACAGTGTGTTTAGGGATCTGCTCCGAATTCTGCCGACCAGGGCTGTGCTCCATCCTGTCCTTTGATTCATTCTCGAACTGGGAAGCTATGTCCCTCACGCTGCAGGATGAGGCAGTGCCCAGATTGATCCTGGACCGGTTGATTTGATGCATGTTTTTATACAGCATGGTAAACTCTGGGCCACTCTTCCTGGAACTGGGTAAGAGGTAGCCTTTCCTAGACTGGGTGCCATACTCTTGCAGGCTCATGGTGCTGCCAGATTTGGTGACATATTCTTGCTTCGATTTCATTAACAGGTTCTCTATGCTTTCCCCTACATCTACCGTGAAAGCTTTTTTGATATCAAACAGGGCAAAGGAGCTACCAAGGTTCTCACAGCTTTGAGCTTTCTCATGAGGTAGCAGGATATTCTTGTCCTGCCCTAGAGCTGGAGCTGCTAGTTTGGGTTTGAATTTGGAAGGGAGAATTTCTGTAATGCAGACTTTTGCAGCTGATAAGGGCTTCTTATGTTTACATGTGTGACCTAACATACCAGTATTACTAGTGTTAAAGGTTCGGCTATTAGTTGAAGAGGGTGCGATCATATGAGCATTCCCACCTTTACGATCCACTGGTAAGCATGCAGAATAAAATAAATAAAACCTGTTAGCTTAAATGCCAGAAAGCTCTCGAGAAAGGAGAGAAAACATGCTTGGATTTCACAAAACAGTCTTTAAAAAACCGCTGTCGAAAATAAAGAGAAGCAGAGACACAAAGCACAACAAGCTGAACTACTGAAGCAGGTGCAAAGGTACAGATCATGTCAGAAATGCTGTTAAGAGCCACATGCCTGATCCAGGACTGCAGCACTTTAGGGTTGAATCCTACAAAGTGCTGAGCACCCTCAGCTTCCATGGATGTTGCCACCCCATGCACAAGGCAACTCAACTCCTGGCAGGATCAGTGCCTTAGCATAGAGGCAGAGGTACTAATGTTGCAAAAAGCATATTAATGCAAGCCTGGAATGAGACTAACCATGGTCCCCACATAACACCTGCCAAGTACATTATTCTCATCTGGGACAGGCAAGTCAGAGATTGTCTGCATTAAAACAAGCAGGCTATATCCACTGGCCCCACCCGAGCACTATCCCACAGTGTCCTTCTCAGGGGCTCTTCTTACTGAGGACCAGCTGAGTGTGCTCTGCTTGGACAGTCTTGTTTGCCTAAAGTGCCTCTTATTGTACTCAAAAGCAGCTAGAAGACGAAGAGAGACAGACATCTGGGTGTGACGCACTATTTTGCAGGAGGACTAGTGTTTGAAGAGTGAAAGAACCAGCTCCCTCCCGCATACACACACTTCCCAAGCCATTTTTAGCTCAGGGTGAATCCCATTCTCCTCCCCCCGACCCACAGGCAGGCTTCTGGCCTTTCCCAGTGCTCTGCATGCTCCAAGATGGTGGGAGCCAGTGACGGGAGGCTCAAAAGGTCCAGCGGTCTCTGCTGGGCTGGCGTCTGTCTTGACACTACATGGACTTCAGGGTGGTTGCTGATTTCAGCAGTGTCCATCATATTGTGTGGCCCCTTTGAGCCAGGTAAGCCCTGGAGTGCATGGTGCAGAAATTAAGGAGCTGAAGTGAGACCAGCAGACACCACTTGGCCTGCTGAGACTCCATATAAGAAACAGCAGCAGAGGCTGGGAGACAGAGGTAGAGCATGGGCAGGAGGGTCCACAAAACAAGGACCAAAGGCAAGTGGGGGTGGGAGACTCCAAGGTGAGTGTTGAAAAGGGGGAGGTAAGAATATGGGAAAATGACCAGAGGAGTCAGGGTCCTGTTGAAAAAAGGGACCTGGGCATCAGAACAAGTGATCAAAGGAAAAGATGACAAGGCAAGGTTGGGAAGAGACAGAAAGAAGAAGTGGGGACAGCAGAGGAGGAGACAAAGGAATGACAGATGAGATCTCCTTGGGTTTGGACAAGGGCCCAAACCCTCTTGGCGCTCCCCTCTTACCCTCACTATCACTCAGGTTCTGATTCATTATGTGGAATGGAAGACAAGGGATGAGGCTCTGCTGACCTACCTTTAGTGGAAGCAGAGCTAGATGGGCGCTTGAGACCGCTTAACCCCTGTAGCGGGATATCTCCACCTTCCAGCACGCTCTTATAAATCTGCCTTTCATTGTCCAAGCCAGCAGGGTCCCCCGGTGCTGATTCGAGATCTCGCCTTACTGCATAGTAGTTGGGAGAATAGGCTGAGCTAGAAAATGATTTTTTTAAAAGAGAGACAGAGAAAAGTGATGGGTCTTTTCCTGTTTGCTTCAACAGCACCATGAGACAGGAAGAGGAAATTCTACTTCTGTGCAAGGGGACGGACTAGACGACCCCAAAGGACCTTTTTAATCCTATAACTCTAGGAAACCAGGCTTGTGAATCAAAACAGAGCTGTGCACACAAATCATACACCTCTGGCTGGCAAAACAGTAGATGCAAAATTTCTAACTAGAGATCATAAATTTCCAGAAATAACATGCTAAATACATAGCATTGCTACAGTGCCATACATTCCAGTCTCTCAAGGATTTTTACCAGCTAAGCTTCTCAGTAAATGAGAGGTGGGTAAGTACTCTCTCTTTATTTCATAGAGGGGGAAACCAAGGCACAGAGAAGGCCACAAATTTGTCTTAGGCTACAGAAATTCAGTGGCTGTGTTAAAGAAAGACAGACACTTTACACATACCTAGTTCTCTGCTCTAACAGGTACATCTTTCTGTCTCCCATTTACAAAGCATTTTTTCCCATGAACAGCCTATAGAAAATACTGCTTCAAATACATTCCTGAGTTTAAATTCCGCCCAGAGCATAATCTCAGTTTTTACATTCCACTCTGCCCACATGCACAGAACTCCCTCTCTAGGGAGAACAAATTTCGGCAGTCCAAGCAGATCTAAGAACCAAATTTTGTCCCTGGCATTGGATATACATTTTAAAAATAGACCTGACTTCAGATTTTTAGGCTGTAAGAAACTAAAATGATTTACTACAATCCCCCAACAGCCAAAGTGAAAGAATCTTCCCAAAGGTGCAAATTAGTGAAATATTTTGCCCAGCATATGATCCATGCAGTCCTTTGTTCTCTTCCAGATACAAAAGGCCAGCACTATCATGGTATAAATGGCTTTTCCAGAAGCAAAAGACATGCCAAACAGTCAAGTAGACTGCTTCTCATAAGAGCTGATTTCATCCAATGCCAGTGCTTGTACAGCTTCAACCAGACTCTTTTTAATAAGATGCAATGTTAACATAACAAAGCTGTTCCTGGGGGCAAAGTACAACTGCTTGTAAGCTTAAAAAAATATCAACTCATTCACTGATCCAAGCAAAGTGTTTGGAACCAGGTTTGGATCTCAGTACCCAGTGGCAATTCCACCTCCCATGTCAATAATAACATACAGCACCTATGATTATCTGTGTGTGCTTGCCTGTGCCTGGTATATCAGGATAGATATGGTGCTTATTGGGTAATAGAAGGTTTTGGAACATGAGAGAACTGTTTCTGGGGCTGGAATTACAAAATGTCTAGTACGCCACTCAGTCCCTGGATGACACATAAGATTGCAAGTGGATCACACACGTTCAGTCCCACAAGTGGCTCCCTGGGATGATAAAATTGCTGGCAAAATACAAAATTACAGGCAGCAACAATTCCTTGCTCTTTCAAGCCCAGGAAAAAATTCCACCGACTTCAGTGGGATTCATAGGAACCCTGTTCAGTACTCTCTAGTCTCACCAAGTTTTGCCCAGTGCCTCTCTTTGCCCACACAGGCCACCCCAGCTGTTACCAGGGATATGATAGTTAGACTTCTGAGGCTCTCCACCTGGAAGATGGAAGTATTTTAGCCCAGGGCTCAGATGAGTCTTTCTTAAGGAAAGTACCTGTGGGAGAGGAAGCATCTGGGAGAATCCTCTTATTGACTTCTCCCTATCTGTTCCCACCCTGTGAAACAGACTGCAGTGCCTGCAGCCAGTGCTATCCGCAAGAAGGCCCGAAGGCTCCACTCCAGCTCTGGCAGCCAGAAGCACCCCTACCTCAGCAGCCTGGTGGTTTAGCTCTCCTGGAAAAGGCCTGTGAATGGGCTCAGGCTGCCCATTCCCAGCCCCAGCAGCTCCAGGCTTTCTCCCCTTCCCCAACATAAACCCTGGAGTTGTGACATACGCCATGGAGACACTGCTGCCAAATGGGGCAACCCGATTCCCTTCTGTGGGGGAGATCAAAGTACGGAGATGCAGAACGATTTCACCTCACAAACTGAGACTCAGAAGATACAGCTTATTAAATGGAATACACTTAAAAATTTAGAATTAATAAATTTACTCCATGATAATTGTAATTATGAGATTGTAATTATCTCCTGGAGTCCTAGGGACCAAGCATTTTGGTTTCAGACCCTCTCCAGTAATTATGGTATTGTTTATTTATTTACGCCACTTCAACTCCTGTGGAAGTCAGTCAGTGGTAGGGTCCTCATGAGCTTTGGTGAGACCTATGTAGAGCTCGGACAGAAGGTAGAGACAGTGATTTCAGATAATAGAAATGATCCAAGGAAGCAGCAGTCTGGCCTGTCCACATATATATATACATGTATATTTAGCACTGGTTTCCTTTAGCACAGGTTTCCTTTTTTCTTTATTACACTCTCCTTATTAGAATAGATGATGGAAATGACTGACTTGACAAGGCCAAGACACCTGCCCAATTACAGTAATAGAAATCCCTTTACAACAAGTGCATGTAAAACTGACTGCAGGAGAGCTCAAAAATTATATATTTTAAAAGGTTCAAGTAGGTGAACATACATAAAATTAATAGACAGCAGAGAGGATGACATGTCTTTCCCCACGACGCATTCATCTGAATACGATAAATGTGCCACAGTGGAATGTTAAACATCGGTTTCAATTAAAGAGAATAACAGGTTAGCAGTGAGTGCTAACATCACAGCCAGCATTAATCAGCAGTGCTCCGGATCCGGCCCTGGAATTATTCTCCATCCTTTAAAGTAAAGCTGGATTCATCTGCAATCCACTTTCTGAATATTTGTCTAAAATAGCAACATGCCATTTCAGTCTCCAAGCACTACTAAATTGTTTTTCCTCCCCGAGTTAAATGCATGACAGTGGTTTCTTCTGGTAACAGCATCATTTTCATTTGACAGTGAAGATGAATAGACATTATGCATAGTTGTGAACATCTGACAGAAGTTTCTTACTCATTTTATGCGAGTGTTAGAAACAACCTTAGCACTTTGAGACTGCAGCTTTCTTTACACACAGCACAACCAATTATTTGTAAATTTCATCCATGGATAAATTAAGAGTTTTGTTTGCATTTTAAGCAGTAACTCTGTGGAACAAGGATCTTCACTGGATTAAGTAGCAATTATGTGACAATGTTAAACTTCATTCAAAGCTATCCTTCAACATTCTACATTCAATGAGTCTAACCAATGCACAAATATAAGGTGCTTGGTAAGTGTGGGCATGTGTCACCACTTCCAAAATCCTCAGAAAAACCCAAACTGTAAAAAAATGCAAAAAGTCATTCTGAAACTTACTAGGATGAATGGTCTGTGGAAGTTTCCAGAGGAGTGGTGCTTGCTGTACTCTGCAAAAGTCCAAACAAAGAAGTCACTGATACAGACTTGCATTCAAAGAGAAAGAAAAAGCGTTGCTTAAGTAATTTTCCATCTCTAGCTAAAACGTTGGCCTTTGGGAGATATTGAGATTTAAGTTTAAATACAAGCTAAAGCATCAATGTCTCCACAGAAGAGCGACAATTTTCTTGGGTTCCTTCAGGACAGTGACAGGTTTTAGCACAGCCAATGTCTTTTCACAGTGCCTATTCTTTTGTCTGCGAATGAGTCATTGTGAATAAAGCCAAAAGCAAGAAGAGATAACCAGCTGGGCCAGAACCAGGAGACACATGCTCATAATTATTTCTCCAAGCTTTCCTCCCCAACCATCCCCAGCCCCCCCCTTTTTCTTTAAAGGTATATCACATTTCTGTAGCACATACATTCCTCATAAATATTCCTCATAATGCTAACAAGAAAGGAAATGTTTCAATCCAGTTTCCATACTTAACGGGAAGCAATGCCAGCTGCACAGGTTCAATAGCAAAAGCCAGTTCTCATCCGCTTGTTTAAATCCATCTAAAATTTTCTAGGCATGCTGTTTAGTAATCTGAAGAAGTTTGGAAGATACGTTTTGATTTAGGATTTCTACCACCCTGCACACAAATATAGATTCATGGACAGTTTGAAATCCAGCTGCACAAAAGTAAATGGGGCCTTTGCAGTAGCAGCTTTTGTGAGTCCTGATCAAGTCAATGCAGATTTTCGTTTTCAGTAAATAATAATTTGAGCATTACCCAATGGGCATTTCTAGGCTATCACTGTTTGAGTCACGTAGATCATCAGAAGGGCAGCAGCTGGTATTCTGCCCAAGAAGGCTACAGCAAGTAGAGCTTAAGGAGAGTTGTATAAAAATCTTTCATAAAAATCCAGATGTTGGATGGGCACAGGGTCCCCAGCAGGCAGCAGAGAGTGGGGTATGTATGAAAAGAGAAAAGGCAATTTGGCTGAAAGGCACAAGATGATGATGTGACGTCAACCAAGAATTTTAAGCTGCTTGCTGCTGCCTATTCATGTGAAAAATAGCAAGGGGGGTTTTGCTGAGACACCAAACTCAAAACAAACCTTAAAAAGGAGTTTGGGGAGGGAGGGAGAAGGAAACCACTATATCTGAAATGGATTTCAAGCAGGATTCTCAGCTTCATGTTCTATCATTTCTGACAGCTACACAACAAGCCATGCAGTCAAAACGGTCAGAACCATTATTTATCTCAATCTCATTTAATAATCATCCAGCAGTGAATAGATTAGAGCAGAGAGTTTGGAAACAAGGATTGACAGCATGAAAAGAATAGGAAATACCTTCTGTGGCTTTTTATCTGGCGTTTTATAAAGCTTCTCCATTTTTTCTAAATCTGCCTCTAACTCAGTCTGGTAGAGGTAGAGGTCTTTTTCTAGATCAGTCTGGTTAAAGGAGAAGAAGAAGAATGGGAAAATAATGCTTAGGGTTAGGGGAAACCAAAGAAATGTTAATTTTGAAAAAAAAAAAAAAAAGAGCCTTTTTATTGAAAAAACAGACTGAGATGGTACAGACATTCACCAGTAATTAATCACTTATCAGTAAATAGAGACAATTGTTTTAAGCATTTCACATTTAAATTCAGAGATGCACAAGGCCTGCTAGAATCTAATTTTACAAAGCATAAATGCCACAAAAACACACCTGTTTTAAAAAAAATAATCAATCATACTGTAATATCAATGCAATCTGCTGTTAGTGCAATCATTGCTGCAGGTCAAAAATCAAAGCCACCATTTAGATCTATGGCAGATTATGCTTTAAGGATTGTTTATTAAATAGATTTATTAGCCACTTAATAGTTAGGGTAATAAGATCAAGCCACATTAGCAAAGGAAAAAAAATCATCACCCACAAGCACACAAAATCCACACAGTGCTAGAGGAAAAGAAAAACTCCCCCACACCATACACCACAGTATAATGTATGTGAGACAATTACCTTTCTATCCTCTCTAGTAAGGATAGAGCAATCTCCAGGAGTATAATCCCATATCTTTTTTGGAGGCTGATGGAAAGCAGAGGAAGGAAATGAGGAAATGAAGATAAGGAAAGACATCACAGAGAATATGGAAACTGGATTAGAACAGAGGGGGATACATTAGGGGTCTGCATCAACACCAAAAAATAAAATTAAAAAGAGAGAGCGAGCGAGCGAGAGAAAGAGAGAGAGAGAGGAGAGGCATAAACTGGCTGTAGCACAAATTCCAAAAGACTATGGGAGGCCAAGGGCACATGCATGGTTTGAGAGGGTTTGGTTTTACATATTGGTTGGAAGCCATTTTTAGTTTTGCAAGGTGCTTTTTATGGGTTTTATGCTCCCCAGAAGGAATGTGCGGGCAGTGGTTAAAGCAGCGGTTCCCAACCTTGGGTCATGACCCAAATGAGGGTTGCGAGGGCAATGCCAGTGGCACCACACACAAAGGACGAACCGCACCGTGTTCCAGGAGCTCCCTTGCCTCCACCCCCCGGCCACCACCGCCACACTCCACTCCCAGCAGCGGGTCATGGCAAAAAAAGGTTGGGAACCACTGGATTAAAGCATTCATAACATAAAAGAGAAAGAAAAAGGGAAGGGATTAACAGTCAAAAAAAAGCATTTGCTTGCTCACTTTTCTTTCTAAAAAGGGAACAGCAGAACGAAGGCCTTTCATAAATAAAAAGAAGAGATGTTTTCTCCCTGCCCAACTCTACCCCCATTGCAGACTGTATATACATACCATGTTAACAAATGGCTGAATTTCCATGTTTGCATTGTAGGGCAATGAGAATGCAGAACTGTTATTTTCCATTCCACTCTTTGGAGTGGCAGGTGTGAGGTACAATGAAATCTGGGGATCAGTGATTTAAAATTCAACCTATGTAGGATGGCTCTTGATTTTAAAGGAATTTTGGGTCTTTGTTTAAGTTATACTTCTGGTGGAACGAGTAACATTGCAGAGCATTGTTCAGGGCTTATGTCCTAATGTCTCCTTCTATCCTACGCAGATAACACCATGCTAGGCAGTCCCACCAGCACACAGTTCATGCATGGGGCTGAAGACACAGCCAGGAATGGCTATTCTTTCTAAGTGGATTCTTTTCTACAGCCCCAAACCAAAAAAATATGATCTCCTGGTTCACAAATTAAGCAGTCCTAGGTGTTTATACTTTTCTATCTGAGGCATGTCACAGAGATAATAAATAGAGAGCTTGCCAATGTCCGTTTTACTGGAGGTGGAACTGAACTGAAAATTTTGGATCTTGATTCAACTCTCTCCAAAATTCATTTTTTTCTATTTCTGCAGGCACTTTTTAGACTGCAGATACTTCAAATGACTATTACTTATCCCAAGAAATCTGTGGCTACCATTCATCATTTGTTCAGAGTTATGGCAGATGGACCTACAGTAGAGTCAATAGAGGTCTTCTGGGTTGAACAAGTCTCTTCTTCCCCAAACTTTTTCTTTCCAGTGTTATAGCAAAAAACATAATCACAACTGCCCTGGAAAGATCAAAGTGAAGTTGCCAACACATGAGGTTTTAAGCACTAGGAGAGCACCAGGGAAATTGCCCATGATACCAGGCCACAAACAGACCTCACTAGGAAAAGTTACTACAAGCCACCTAATGTGTGGATACAAGAAGCAGGGATGGTCTTACACCTCTTCAGCCATTGTCCAGGCCTCCACTGAGTCTAGTACTGGATAGACATGCTACAGTCTAGTGCTGGTTAGACAGGCCAGTGTTATTTGATCCCCAGAGTGAAAGACAATGGAACTGAATGACAAGTTCTATAGACAGGCCCTTTAGAGCCTGGTAGCTACAAACCATAATTAGGGAGCAAGAGAAGAGGAAAGTCTCACTGAGGGCATCCCTGTATGCAGAGCAAAAATACCAGTGGCACATTGTCTTGGGTGGATTCCTAGGGGTCTCCCGAGGCAGCAGTGATGGCGATCCAGCTGCTTGAAGCCTGGCTGGCAGATGGAGTGTGGCTCTGGCTGGCCAGGCTCCCTTTCTGACACATGCTGCTACTATATGCACGACACCACTTTTTTCAGCAGCGTTTTTTTTTCCTGATACTGGGATCTCCCAGTGTCAAAAAAATCCACCATGCTGCAAATTAGCAGCACAGTAAACAGGTGCATGTGTGCTGCATGCAGTTTGCAGTGCCTCAAAGCACACATGCACGCTTGTAGGGACTGCCCACTGACGGACTGTCCACTCTCCACTGAGCCTTAGCAAAAACGGAACCCATGCCAAAGGGACTGAATCCCACTGAGACAACAGGGCCTTTGTTCGTAGGGCACACATGCTGCCAAAGCACCACTGAGACTTCTATGGCACTGGCTAGGAGCAGATATGGAACACCAAATGAGAAAAGTGCTGCTTCACTCTTCCCAAGACAGCTGCTGTGACCTGTCTAATCCAAGTCATGTCAACAAGGGACCTTGCAGGGCCTGGCTTTCCATGGCTTTGTGCCTAGCAGTCACTCTGCCTACAGCATAACCCAACCAGAATTGTACCAATGGCAGCATTTCATGCCTACTTTATGAGTAAGGAAAAATGCCACAAGACAGTGGGAAATTAGGCCTAGAATTTCAGTGGAAGCCAAGCTGAGTCAAACAGCATTTTGAAAAGCCCAGCCCTAGCCAACTCAAGCTACATTGCCCTGATTGGACATGCGGCTGTTGATGATCTGGTTCTCTACGGGCTTGGAAAAAAGTTCTACAACTGGGAGCTGCTCTTTAAGACCAGAACTCATTTTTCAGAGCTGTGATTCAATGAAGTATTGTCAAACGTTTAGCATTTTCCAACAAGTTAAAAAATTAGGAGATTGTGGTGTTGATGCCTACACAGTCAGATGGGTCACCAATTGGCTGGAGGGATGTGGGCAGTGGGGTCCCCCAGGGCTTGGTCCTCAGGCCCACACTGTTCAACATCTTCATCAGCAACTTGGATGAGGGGGTGAAAAGCACCTTGTTCAAATTTGCGGATGACACTAAGATGTGGGGAGAAGTGGACATGCTAGAAGGGAGGGACAGGCTGCAATTGGATCTGGACAGGTTACAGGGGTTGCGGATGAGAATAGGATGGGATTTAATACTGACAAGTGCAGGGTACTGCACCTAAGGAGAAAGAACCAGCAGCATACCTACAGGCTGGGGAACTCCCCTCTCATCAGCACAGAGGCAGAAAAGGATCTTGGACTCCAAGATGAACATGGGCCGCCAATGTGGGGACGCAGTCAGGAAGGCTAATCGCACCTTGTCATGCATCTACAGATGCATCACGAGCAGGTCCAAGGAGGTGATCCTCCCCCTCTATGTGACACTGGTCAGACCACAGTTGGAGTACTGCATCCAGTTCTGGGCGCTGCACTTCAGGAGGGATGTGGACAACATTGAGAGGGTCCAGAGAAGGGCCACTCTCATGATCAGGGGGCAGCAGGGCAGGCCCTACAAGGACAGGCTATGAGACCTGAATCTGCTCAGCCTCCACAAGAGAAGGCTTAGAGGGGATCTGGTGGCTGTCTATAAACTGGCCAAGGGAGACCAGCAGGCAATGGGAAAGTCCCTGCTCCCCCGAGCACTACTGGGAGTAATAAGGAATAACGGCCACAAGTTGACAGAGAGTAGGTTCAGGCTAGACATCAGGAAGCACTACTTCACAGTTAGGGTGGCTACAATCTGGAACCAACTTCCTAGGGAAGTGGTGCTCTCTCCTGCCCTGGGGGTCTTCAAAAGGAGGCTAGATGGACACCTTGCCAGGGT